ATATATATATATATACTATATTATAGTACCGGGCCACGACCTGTGCCCACAGGCAAGCTAACCTATGAACGATTGCAACAACGGAACAACAACGTTGCGATTGTAAATTGTAAATTAATAATTCGCTGCACACGCCACACGACGGAACGACCGCACGCGGCGGGTTCTTTGTGTGTTCGCGCGTATGTACGGGGGGAAATTGAATCAACAAGTGTAGGCCCTCCCTCGCGTTCCTCCATCGCTCGCCGTGCCACCTTCTCACGTCCGACATTTCTATGTCAGTATATCAACTGGTCAACAGTCGTAAATCAGATTTGGCCGGTAGTAAAGTAGTAACCCGGCCCCGTAGCACCGAAGCACCGACTCAGATTTGTGTCTCTAGACTGCTGCCACGTCTCCCCACGTCTGTTACCACACGAATTAATCGATGGTTCGTTAGAAACGCGGCACCAGTCTAGTATGCACGTCGACACGCGCGCCACCTGTGCTGCGCTCTTGTTTTTTTCATGTAATTGCGTCGGTATATACGTCACGTACGTGACTGCGACGATCGCGTGACCGAGTAGAACCGACCAGACGTAGAACGTAGGAAGACACACCCAAACACGCGCGCGTGGATAAAGATGAATAGTAATATTATTAATATCGTGTAACTGGTTACTCCGCCCGCTACTGCCGCGCACTGCCGACACATATACGTGTTACGATGACGCTGGGGGATTAAGTTTATAGTTTTATTCGGTTTATAGTAGGCTACTGTTGTACGCACATAAAGATGGAGTTTTTGCATTAGACGATTGACCCACTATAACATGTCGTGTTGTTATAAAGGGCGATGGTATACAATACGCGGGACAATGTCGTTATACAGCGGAAACATCCAAGCTCCGTGGTGACACAGTTACCTACGCGCCTCGTGCGAGATGGCGAGCAAGGTTGAACTGTAGTAATGTTTGATACCTGTTAGTTATAAGATTCGCAAGATTGTATTGCGATATAATAAAACACTACGTATATAAATTGGCGCCGATACAAATATTAACGACCATGACGATGGTGATGACGACAATGATGATTATGAAAAACACGAAGAAAAAAACAAGAAGAAGAAGAAGATGATGATGATGATGATGATGATAGTGACGACAACGACGAACGACGACGCTCATGATAACGATGACGATGACAACGACAATGAAGCTGACGACGATGATGATGATGACGACAGCAACACTCTTCCATCCATCAATATATATACACGTATATATATATATATACTATACTACTACCATACATAGATATACTACACTCACCCCTATCAGCTCCCCGTTGAGGAACACCTGTGGTATCTCAGGTAGCGTCTCTACCTCCTGCCTCTCCCGCAGCTCTTCCTGAGCCTCTTCGTTCACACACAGGTCTCTCTCGTCGAAGCGAACCATCAGCGTGCGGAAGATGTTCCTGTAACGGCAGTAGCAGCCACGTAAGCAGCGGCAGTGGTAGTAGTAGTAGTAGTAGTAGTAGTAGTAGTAGTAGTAGTAGTAGTAGTAGTAGTAGTATAGTAGTAGTAGTAGCAGCAGTAGTAATGGTAGTAGTAGTAGTAGTAGTATAGTAGTGAGTAGCAGTACAGTAGGCATCAATAGCACAAAAGGAAGAAGAGGGAGGAGAGAAGAGGAGAGAGGAGGAAGCAGAGAAGGGAGAAAAGAGAGATAAGAGAAAGAGAGGGCAAAGAAATATGGGAGGAGGAGATAAAGAAGAGAGAGAAAGACACATCACCAGCGGGCGGTGATGCTTACGTCAGCGTACCACCAGTAGTAGTAGCAGCAGCAGCGCAGCAGCACCACACCAGCAGCAGCGGGGTGGATGTCACGTTTGCGTCAAACGTTCGTTACAGAGATTCACAGCCGCGGCTTGATTTAATTACGCGGACTCGACCAAACGCAAAAGACGTCGTAAAGTAAAGCTGTACGTCGAGCGCGGATGAATGTGAATGGTCGTGTAGATGTCAGATGAGGACGACAAGCGAGAAAAATAAACTAAAATAATTTTCGTATTAGTTTTTTATCGCCTATCATTGGTCTGCAGGGTCGTATCCGTCGCCTCACACCTACACCGTCATATAAGTTATGAAACAATTACTATAAATAGTGGAACTATTGGGGTAACTAATTATTATACATTATTTTATATAATAGGCCTATATGTGTGTGTAGTGTGTGGTGTGTGTGGCTGTGTGTGGTGTGGTGTGTGTGTGTGTGGTGTGTCGATAGTGTGGTGTGTGTGTGATCGTTGTGTGTAGTGTGTCAGTGTGTTAGTGTGAGCGGTGCGCCGACTTGATTTGCAGCAGATGATTGCGATCAGTAACTAAACGCAAATTTATAATCAGTGGTTCATTCTCTCTTATTTTGGGAATAATACTTGAAATTGCGAACACATTGAAAATAAGACAGAGTGCCACTTCAAAAAGAGTGCATACCTCCGCGAGCGTGTAACATGTATACATGTGTATAACAGCTGACTCGCTGCTGGCTGCTGCTGGCTGGACGCCTTAAAGCGAGCTGCTGCTGACTGGACGGCCTAAGGCGAGCTGGTGCTGAATCGATCGATCGGTTGAGCGTGTGTATAACAGCTGGCTCGCTGCTGGCTACACACACACACGAACACACACACGCGAGCGATTGCATGACCTCCGTTTGCAACGCGGAGGTAACAACGGTAATGCATATTATTTGGTTGTGTTCCAGCGGCTGTGGTTGCCATTGTCACAACGGTCATTGGTGGATAACATTGGCCATTAATACCCGTACCGGTGTTCTCTTTCTTACTATCAGTAACCATCCAATGAAATGGCATCGCCGTAATTAGGACGTGACGTCACGGGCCCTATATACACTCGCCCTTTATTTCTGAATGCTAGCAGGAAGGTTAATAGGGAACGAGTTTCTCGTCTCTTTACAAACATGGACGAGGGGTTAAGATGTTCATTCACTCGATGCTATCCATCACGCCACAGTCTCACGCTTGTTCACCTGACCTGAGTATATATATATATATATATATATATATACAGCCTGGAAGATGAGTCGTAAGTGGGTCTTAGTCTGACACATAACCCGAACAAGATCAGTATCACGCGAGAGCAGAGAGCAGCGGTGGTGATTGCTACCGTGAGATCTTATTGCTCTCGGGTCATGGCACACACAAAGCCCTAGCCACGATACTTCCTCTTTCCCCGCGCTAGCGTCTATAGAGACTATATATAGCGTCTGCTGCGGGCAGACAGACGATCGTTCTAACAGCATCGACGGATAAGCTGCATAGAATCAATAGTAGATAAGAAAGTCTCTATTATCTACTCTTGATTGAATAAATATCCTAACCTCCTCGTGTGTATACGGAAGGAAGAAAGTCTACGAGAAGACCCCAGAAGAGGACGCCAAGAAGAGGACCCCAGAAGAAGACCCCAGAAGAAAACCCTAGAAGAGAAATCTAGAAGAGAACACCAGAAGAGAAATCTAGAAGAGAAACCTAGAAGAGGTCACCAGGAGAGAAACCTAGAAGAGAAATATAGAAGAGGACACCAGGAGAGAAACCTAGAAGAGAAACCTAGAAGAGGAACTAGAGAAGGTCGCCCGTGTCAACACGGGGAGATGTTTTGCTGGCAACTTGAAGTCCAGCAATGTCACCGTCACCGCAAGACGAGCGCTGCGAAACTATCAAATATCGTATAGCTACGTAAAATGTCTACTTTTGAAGAAAGATAGGAAAGATAGGAGGAGTTGGGCTAGTCGAGACAAGGTATCTCCACGGGCACGTTCACACGTACACTGCATTCAGAAGAAGGAGTCTGGAGAGTGGAGAGAGCGGACAAACTAGTTTGAATTCTTGTCTACAGTCTGAGACAGGAGGATAGAAAGATGAATGAGTGTACGGGTTATAGGCTGGCTGTATAGCAAGATGAGGGTGCAGGCTTACCGAACTTTTTCTACAGTCTAAGTTTTGTCTACAGTCTGAGACAGGAGGACGGAAAGATGAATGACTGTGCGGGTTAGACTGGATGTATCGCAAGATAACTTCTACGATGCTTACCGGGTTTTTTCGCAGTTGTCGAATGTCGATCTGACGACGCGTAGACTTGTCGTGTAGATCACCACCTTGTTCTTCTCTAGCTCCTCGTAGTTCTTCTGTATGATGGCCCGGCAAATAAATAAATAAATAAATTAATAAATTAATAATTAATTAGCACAGAGCAATCGCGGCGTGCGAATTTATGACGTTGCCTTCGAGCAGTGCAGGTACAGGGGGGCAATAAACCATCACATCAAACATGTGGGTAATGTACGTGTCTGGCATGAGCGGTTGTGCTACGTGTTAAACATCCTAGATAAATTTTATACGACATTCGTCCATTTACGAATTAAAACTAACGGTAATGATGATGCGTTGATGATGTTATTTGTTATACATGCATGAATTTGATACGACATGCGTCAATTTACGAATTAAAACTAACGGTAAGTGTATAAGTGTCTTTAGATCTTCCGGTGTAACCCCTTCGCTACCGACGCCCCTGTAGCGAGAGAGAAGGGATTACACCGGTAGAGCTAAAGTGTAATTTACCACAATTTTTTCTTGTCTAAACCCCGAACGCAGTCGGGGGTTGACGCCTATTGTCTCCCACACAGCAGGTAACGTATAGGAAACGCATAACTTTCTAATGTATTTCTATACACGTAAGCCCGATCATTTGTCTTGATATTGTATCGCCGCAGGCTATATTACACTATATAATGAGTCTATCAATACATTGATAGACTCCTGAGTATATCTGTGATGACTATATAATAAGTCTGACTCTACGATCACAGTTTCACTTTGATGGATGATATAAGATTTGAGGGTTAAACGCCCCGGGCACAGAACGTATTTCATGACAGTAACTGTTTGTCAACCGCACATAGAGTGCGTGGGAGACGTGGGTGATAGATATCGTGAGTGTATAACATAGATCTATGTTATACACTCCCGGTGATATAACCCCAAAACAGGTCGCTAACCGCGGCTGCTACTTCATAATTTGAAACAGTCGCTGAATCACATTATCATCTGTTCGTGTATGGAATTATACGCTTGCCCTTTGTTTATATATATGGACGCAGGGACAACATACACGTTTGTTAGGCACGCGTGAGTGGACAGATGTCGTATTGTGCGAAGTTGGGGGAGAGATTCGTGGATTAGAAGGTATATATACGTGCCTGCTCTGTTAGCTCCGATCATGCGAGCGGCCCATGTATACGAGTTAACGCGAATCGGTGATTGAGATTATAGCGCAGCTATAGGTGTAGCCCTGGCCCGATACCGGAGGTGTCGCACCGTGTTAGCGACAGGATGTGATGCACACGTGCCATGGACACACACACGGACACGTGTGTGTGTGTGTGTGTGTGTGTGTGTGTGTGTGTGTGTGTATATGTGTGTGTGTGTGTGTGTGTGTGTGTGTGTGTGTGTGTGTGTGTGTGTGTGTGTGTGTATATCTGTGTGTGTGTGTGTGTGTGTGTGTGCGGGTG